CTCTGTATACCTCTGTCTTCAAAAAAATCCAGCAATCCTAGTGGAGACAGTTTCTCAAATTGCTTAACTTATGGGGCATTTTTAATTCATTATGGAAGAATCTGTTTCTGGAAAAAAAATCATTTCTGTATTTTTGCAGCCTCAGTAGGATTTCTTTTTAAATGCTTAACAGTCTTATTACCTAAAGAGATACTCAGCAGATCATACTGTATTGTAGGAAGTGAAATTTGAATGTACACATGCAAAATGTTATGGGAAAAATAAACATAAGTGTCAGTGAAATAGGTGGAGAAGAATATTCTTGACATAGGTACATATTAGAAAATTAAAGATCTGATTGCATGGCCAGATCATAAAATCATAGAATGGTTTGGATTGGAAGGGACCTTAAAGATCATTTCATTTCAACTTCCCCGTCACGGGCAGGGACACCTTTCATTCACTAGACCAGGTTGTTCAGAGTCCCCACCTGGCCTTGAACACTTCCAGGGATGGAGCATCCACAGCTTCTCTAGGCAACCTCTTCCAGTGCTTCACCACCATCACAGTAAAGAATTTCTTCCTAATATCCAATCTAACCCTGCCCTCTTTCAGTTTGAGGCCATTCTCCCTTGTCCTGTCACCACAGGCTCTTGTAAAAAGATCCTCTCCAGATTTCATGTAGGCCTCCTTAGAAATTCTCTGAGCCTGTCTTAAAAGGAGAGGTGCTCCAGTGCTGTGATTGTTTTTGTGGTCCTCCTCTGGACTTGATCCAGCAGGTCTGTATCCCTCTTATGTTGGGGATCCCAGAATGCAGTACTCAAAGATGTTGTCTTCTCTGTCATGGGTGTCTTGTGATTAGGAATTATGTATGCTTCCAGTTAACACACAATGACACTGATGAAGGGAGTTTTCGGAAGAACACTTTCTACACTTTCAAGTTCTTTAGTTTCCATTTATTCTAGTTAGACTTCTGGGTGCTATGATATTACGAAAAATTAGACTCTATGGACTCAGGTGCTGCATTTGTTTTAAAAAAAAGAAAGAAAAAGATGCATCCATCTCATAAAAATGTTGGACTTTAAATGTTTTGCTTTCAGGAGCAACAGTGCATTTTGTGGGGATGTGGGAACTATGTGGGAAGTGTAAGACGATTGAACCCTTAACTATTCATTTGCTTGTTTTTAAGAGCCAGGGTTTTATAAATGATGTGGAATAGAAGAGGGCTGCTGTCACTTAGCAACCCTATCTGGTTCAGGAACAAAATGTTTCGCTGTTGGAATCTGTGCAGTGCTGCTACAAAACATTCCTGACTGAGTAGGAGAAGGGGCAGCTCTGTTCTGGAGAGGTTTGGTGCAATCGAAGTTAAGTGTTCCTATTGCTGCATTTGTGAGATGTATTCATGCTGGTATTTGTGACCATTAAGATTTTTGTTGTCTACTTCGTTGTTTGTCTGCTGTGACCATTAGCCAAGTAAACTTTTCCAAATTATTTCAATAAAGCAAAATTACATTTTACATTAATGGTACAAAATAATTTCTGCCTTAAATGATTTGTGATACTGTACTTTTGAGTATCAGTCATATATAAACCTTCTGAGAGGTCACATTAGCATCCCTAGAGGAAAAGCCAAACACTTCCATGTCTGAAGATTTCCTGACTTACTGCTTTTCAATGATGATGGCATTTGGTAATGTAGCTCTTAATGAATGATGGCATGATGAGTGTAATTAGAATGTATCTTTCTTTTTAAAACACACTGTTTTTGCTGAGGTTAAAAATACTGTCGAGCAATCATACTTCTTGAATGCAAAATGAAATTGGCTCTGCTCCTTATCAACCTGTTAGTTGTCAGGAGGTTTCTGGAAGGCAAGCTGGGTTCATGTTTCCAGTATAAAGTTGAGAATTACTTCAGTTTTTCTATGTGCCTTTGGTTGAATATGCTTTCCAATATACATATACAAGTCTTTTGTCAGTGAGTCTTTTTACTGCTAGTCCATGATAAGCAAAGAATTGTTCTCATATTCCTGAAGGTTTGGTTTGAAAACTAGTTATTTTAACTAACATGTGTTCAACTGTGAAACTGCACAAGCATCACCTTCACTTAAAAGATGCAGCCAGCAATGCAAAAAAGGTTATGTCCTATTTTCTTTCAACCATACAAAAGGCAAAATTAGAAACCTTATTATGAGTAGTTCTGGCTATAGGAGGAATAATCCAAGGTGTACTTAAAATAGAAAATTATAATTTATGCATAGCTAGTAGATCAATAAGATCTCAGTAGAAAGTGTGAAACTTTTTTTAATGTGAAGAGAAATGTATGATTTGGTGGGTGATTTTGGCCTTCAGTTCCTTCCGTACAGTCCTGTCTTAGGTCTGCTGAGCATTCTGATATGCATAGTCTGTGGTCATATTCACATTTCAAAGTCTACATATGACTCTGCATGCAGTGGGAACCATACTGCATTTTAGATTACCTTGTGAAAGGTCTTTACCTCTGGATCAGTGTTGATTTTTAACTTGTTTGAAATGTCCAGTCTTTTGTAGTGCCTCTTGAAAGGAGATTAAATGAAGAATGCATTTCACTTTTCAATTATTAGCTGAAAACATTATTTTTGTCTGTAGTAGTAATAACCATTGTAGTAATATGTTCAGCTACCGTGAAATTTTCAGTTACTATAAAAGCATTATACTTGCAGGGATGGGATTTATTTTACTGATCCTGTTTTGTACTATAATTTTTTCAGGCAATCCAGGTTGACTGGTCAAGTTAAATTAGTTGAAGTTTGAATGTTATTTCATGGCAGTTCCCTGTGAGCTTCCAATAAGTTTCTGGGTACAATTCAATAATGCTTTGTCTTCTATGTTGCTCAGATTTAACTCTTAAAAAATTTGCATCTACACCTATTTTAGACACATAAGGTCAAATGAGTCTAGCTAGTGTAGCACTTTAGGAAGTTACTGCCCCTCAAACATCCATTGTGCTTCCACGCTAAAGACTACTTCAACAGCAGTGAAACCAGTTAAAGCGTAACAATCAGTATACATATGCTGATTTACCCTATGGCATAAAGTCTATGCAATTTCTTCTGCAGTCCAGAAGGAGCCACCATACTAAAACAGTGCAGGCAAGGGCATATGTACTCTTCAGTTTGTATCCACTATCAGGCAGCAACAAAAAGCTGGAAATTAGAATATCTTGGATAGACTACAACTGTTAACTGAGACAGTCTGTATTGACTTTTCTTCTTTTCATATCCTCTCTTCATTTAGTGTTTGTAATGTCATAGCAAGCAGGTGTCACTAAGTAAAAGCAATCACACTTTTAACTAGGGGTGTCTGATGTGTTTAATTTGTCCCACTCTCCCCTATTTCCAGTCAGAATCCAGAGCTCCTAATTTCCTTAGCAGACTGAAAACAAATTAGTAGATAATGTCTAACTTCTGAGAATTTATAAATCTACAGATTCTTTGCTGCTTTATGTGCTGCTGGTTACCAAGGTTGTCTCATGTTTGCTTTGGATGGTGCCTTCTTTGAAGGTTTCTGTAAAGACTTCGCACGTTAAATTTTTATTTTACTGGTAATAAGGCCGGTCTGATGTTACCAGATGAAAGTGAGTCAGGAAAGCTGCAATAAAAAACACACAGAAACTACTGTACTTCAAAAATCACTTATGGAACCATTATTTACCTGGTCAGGTAACCATGTAGTATTTCTAGTAATTTGTCATTCTATGGATTATTACAACACAATAACTTGTGCTTTTTGAAGCTGTATCAATGTGGCATTGCACACTGGCATAATAATGTCTTATGTTGCTACTTGGATATTAAAGCAAGAGCAAGATGTTTCATCAAGAGGCTTCAATCAATTCTTGGTCTTGCTGAACTGGCTTTTACTAATACATTGAAGGTGATGAGGCATTTCTTTTGAAATGTTAGTATTAGTGAGGAAAACAAATTTTTAGAAGACATAACTTACATGTCTGTAGCAGATAGCTGCCTGCAGAAAGGAGCTACTAATGACAGTAAAATTCCAAACAGTTTTGATAAAGAGATAATCTATTAGTCTCAGCTTGTTTGCTTTAGATTTAGAGTCTGATGAGGCTGTGTGGGACGCAGACACCTTGTTTCTCCTGTGGGATTTTTTTCACTTTATTTTCATTCATATCTTAGCACAAGTACATAAGTAGTCTTGGCAAGTGTGGACATTAGTTCACTGAATAGTCAGGTGGCTCTTCAAAGCTGAAACTGGAAGAATAATGACAAAAACTAGATGGTATGTGTATCAGTCTTCCAGGTTGCCATGAAATGATGCTGCTAGCAGCTTTATCTATAGTGAGTTTCTGATAACTCTTCTATAATATGAGACAAGATCTTGTTCCTCCTGTCTGGTTCCTCCAACTCTGTGTAGGGAAAAAACTGCTGCCAAATGTTAAACAAATCCTAATCATGCCATTCCACAGAGGAGTCTTTGGGAAGGGGAACGATGTTACGGAAGTGACCATTTGTAGGTCTGCCTCACCTCTCTAGCTACTTTTTCTGTGTATGCAAAGAAGACAGGTTGCACAACAGGACCAAATGACATGGCATGGCCTGGTCCATAGGTAAAATGCTTTTTGGGGAACAGTTTGTGGGCTAGCGGTGTACGATATTGTATTGTAACAGGATTTTACAAACAAGTATGTACTAAATGCTAGAAAGAGAACCTGGGATAACTGCAACAGAGTAAGCTGTTGCCGTACTGATAAAATCTAGCTCATTCCAGTTCTTTTGAGTGTGTTGAAATGGATTGACCCAATTTAAATCTCACCAACACATTTTTTAAATGTAGAATAAAAGTGTATTATGGGGTGTAAGTACAGGAACATATTTTTCTGTCCATGTAGACAGACCTCAAATTAGCACACTTACTCCCCAGTAAAGATGTAATTGTGAATTTGATGTCTGTCATATTTCAGAATTGCATGGAGCATTCTGATTTAAAATACCTCATAATGCTGCTCCTTTTCCTTTCACCAGAGACCAGCAGAAACTGTCGATGAAGAAGAAAATGTAGAAGAGGAACATGGCAGGGGAGAAGAGGCATATGAAGGAGAAGAATATCCAGAAGTGAACAGAGAGAAAAGTGGGGAAAGTGTTAAAGAAAGAAGTGAAGGGAAAGAAAACAAAAAGAAATTAAATGAAAATTTTGAAGGTGAAGCAGAAGAAACAGAGAATGTTGACCAAGCGGAGGAAGAGGAACGTATCCATTTAAATGGCAAGAACAATGAAGAAGATGGTGAGGGAATGGAGCACTTGAACTACCAAGATGATCTTCAGCCAGAAGAAGAAATAAAAGAGGATTCTGGCAGTCAGAACCAGGTGAGTGTTTAGTCTTTCAAACTGTTGTTCTTACATTATTGCTCCTCATTCATGTCAGCCTTACACTTCTCAGCTGGTATCTAAGTAGTTCACCTCTGATAAAGTCCTGAGAGCATTTATGAGAACTTCGGGTTGCAGAAAAATTGGCTTCCATCTGTATAGATCAGTTACATCAATAATTACATTATATGCCTTCCAACTGAGAAAGCAGATGTTTCTCAATATTTGATGAATCTGTATCTCCTGCTTTCCTTATAATGCTGAATTTTGAAAAAAACTAATGAGAAAAATTCCTGCAATTTCCAGAAAAGCATAGTCATTATATATTTCCACACTAGTTTGTCTTTTAGGACAGAGCAGAAGGGTGTGTCCATAACACTACAGTGCCTCATTATTTTGATGAATTGACTTTCACAGAAGTTGCATTTCATAAAGGGCTTTTGCCATTGCTTTGCGGAAGTTTCATCTCCTTTTCTTAGAAATTGGAAAATACAGTGGAGATGAATAAGATCTTTAAAGCAAGGGGCTTTAGTCAGTTTAAAAGCAAATATCCTATTAATTTAAGATACATGGTAACATGCCGTTGGCTTAGATGGAGGGATGCAGCCCAGAAGAATAAAGTGGACTGCCCTGACTGTCACATGAACTGACCAGCTAACAAAATGTGGGAAACAAAGTGTTTTGTTTGATGGGGAGAATCCAGACCTGGGAAGAGTGGGATTCTTGAGCATCAGAAGCAGAACAAATTGCCACATATTCCCTGCCTATAGGCTGCTGAAAACCAGTCTTCCTCTGCTTCTTGTGACACTTGGAATGGTTTCTTACACTTTGTAACTGTTTCTGTATGACACACGAGAACATTTTTCAATTAAGAGAGCTGAGTAACATGACATTTTCTTGGGCCCTGAATTTTTTCTGTGCTTGATATATTAATTTTTTTATTTATTTTTAGAAGAGCTGAAGTTATTTATGGAAGTGGAGAAAGTAAGTGAGCATTCACTTGAAGTGGATATGTGGGTAACTGATGTTTGATGAAAGAACTGTAGGGGGGAAACCTCTAATTTGAGCACTTTCTCCTTTGGAAGGTATATAAGTATAAAGTAAATAAAAATTTTAACATGATCACTCTTGGAAAACATTTTTTACATTAAGGATACCTTGTGGAAATTTTAATATGAAGTGCTAATACTGTATTGAAATGAAGGCAAATCTTTGATACCAAATGATATTAACAGTACGTGTCCTTTTTCTCTAGGTTGATTCCCATCGTGAAAAAACATCCACAACTCCAAGGGTGACAATCACCAGCCCACAAGAAAGTGAAAAGAATGACCAGAGCAATGACTATGCAGCAGTTGCATAGATAGGAAAAAAGTAATGAGCAGAAAATGAAAGATTATAATACTTTAAATATAAAGCAGGTTATATTTTGTGATTGATAACTAGTAATAGGAAGGCAGGTCGAGTACCTGCATAATGAGTATTGAGATGATAATGCTATATGGACTGATAGAAAACAAGCATTAGTAGCTACTAGAAGAACATAGAATTATTTTTACAGGGTGAGATTTTCTGATAGGATTTAAGGGAGGAAATACAAGAGTACTGTATAGTAGTATTAGAAATAATGAATAAACTATTCTGTGATACGAGCTAGTTAGCAGCAATGGAATAAGCACAAAAATTACACTGTTCCAGGGAAAGGCAGAAAACCTACCCAAATTCAATGTCAAAACTTCTTCGCATATTTTTTCAGAAAAAAGAAACAATTTTTACCTTTTAATGAGGACATATGTAATTTTTCCTTTAAAATTCCACATAATGTGTATGATTTTCAGGCATAACATTAAGATATAATTAGAATATGTTCCTCAATTAATGGACTTATGCCCACAGAAAATGGTGTACTATCATGAGGTGCCAGTTTTAATGTTACTAAATAGTGAATTTTCAATATATTAATGAGAATCGTTAGTTTTTGCATACATAAACAGTACTGATTTAGCACTGTGCCTTTATGTAGATAGCCTGCAATACTGCAAGTAGTTTCCATTTAAAGCACAAAGTTTTGTTGATTGTCCTGCACTGATTCACTAAACAGTGAATTGTTATCATAGAGAACAAAAAAGTAGATTAGTTTAAAAAGTTGAATTTGGATGGATTTGTAATTCAGTCTATGTGAAATTTAATTTATTAGTGAAATAAAAAAAAAAGAACAGGCCTGGATTCAGACTGAAATTCCCATGAAACCATTGCTGTCAATGGAGCCATTTTAATATGTGACACATTAGGATAAGCCGACCACTTTTCTGTGAAAGTCAGGAACAATTGCTGCATTTATGAACCCTTTGCATGGCCTTAATGCTTGGAAGTGTCATCCTTTTGAGCAGGAGCTGTCGCCTGCTAGGCTGTGGCTTAGTATGCATTAGTAAATAAGGCATTGATCCACAGTATTGGTTCTCTTAGTGACCCCAATTCCATTACTCTTATCATTTCTCTGTTGGTAATGGGAATAATTTGTAGTTCATGGAAATACAGCCCTTAGCATAATTTTATTAATTATACAAAGAAATACTGGGTTTCTTGATCATTAATACTAGTAAATTATTACTACAAGAAACTAAATGTCATTTTTGTTGATTTCATGCCATTAAGACAAGAATTAAATTTATGAACAAATTGAACTTGAAGCACTGTTTGAGGAATGTGAAGAACCACTTGTCATGGCTGAAACTCATACAAACATCTTCACTTTCGGTACTAGCTATTAAATATATTTTTCCAATGGGATAGAAATACGTAGAGATCCTTCAGCATATTTTGTGTATTGGCAATGTAAATATAAAAGACATAATGTTAAAAACTAAATGAACAGGGTTAGAACAGTTTGCCCTGTGGTATCTCTGTGAGATGTCTGTGAAACCTGTGTCTTTTGTTGAGCCAACTGACAAAGATTGGAGGGAATATTACATTTGTGATCAGCTCCTAACTTAGCCAAGCTCTTGAGGAATGCTTCCTTTATGTATGCTTCCTTTATTTGAGACAGCAAATAAATATATTTGGTTTCACTGAGATTTAAAAAGACATTTATAGTTAAACAGAAGTAAAAAAACAACCAACTCTCCCCCCCTCCAAAAACCAACCAACCAACCAACCAACCAAACAAGCATAAACTAGAATGAATAAAATAACTGGACATGATAGTGAGGAAAAATGACACAGATGCCTTTATAGTTAATTCTGCACTGGAATAATATATGCAGTAGCATTAAAAGCCCTTAAACAGTACTTAACCAGCCAAAAAAGGTGGCACTGTCTCCTCGGGGAGCTTGGGGGAAACTTGCCTGCTGAACCTTCTGTGCTGAGCTGGCCAAGGAAAGTGGCTGATGCTGCATCACTGCTCACTTGGAGCTGACGAGCTCATATGCTTCCCAGTAAGATGGACTTCAATGTGTTGCTGAATCAAGACAAATTACAGTAATCTTGTTTTGACATTACTGTGAATGGGCTCTTCTCTAGAAGCTAGTGGGTATACCAAACACAGGACTCTACTTGCTGTCATACTATTGCAGATAAGGACTAACAACCTCTGACGTGTTCTTCATCCTCAAAAGTTTGAAGTTAAATCAACACCCAAAAATATGCTATATATATAATATATATATATACACGTATATTTTCATTTATATATATATATATATATATATATGTATGCTTCAAAACGTCGCACCTAGAAACCGTATTTAGAAAACCTGGATGGATTTGTGTGGTGATACTTTTCTCTCTTTTGTTTCTATTTATAGCTTCTGTCCGCCAGCAGTTTCTGTCATTTCTTCCCTTTACCCAAAAGTTTGGTGTTTTCCATGCTCAAAAGACTTAAAGATATCAATAAGAATAATTTAAAAGCTTAAACTAAATTCTAGTACGATCTAATGTTATAATTTTCTTTCACAGGAACACGAAATCCTATGAGGTGTTATTCATCTTTTAAAATGTTTTCCTCTCTGTTTTCTTGTAAGAAAGACAGGTTATGTTTCTTCAGAAGAGCAAATCAGACTTTTTTGAAATGGAGATATAACCATTTTATCATTCACCTTACAACACTGACAAAATGAATTTTGTATCAGGTTCTTTTATTTAAAGAAACTAGTTTGTGCCTAACAAATAATTCTGATGTTAAAGTAGAAATTAAACAAGAAACATACAGGTGGTCTTGCTAATAGTTTTTCTGTCTGGATCTGCTGTGTGTGATGGCTTAGCTCAGTTTTACTTGAGAAATACATTATTTTGTTAAGCTTATATAATGTTATTTTATTAAGCTTATCTGCAACAATTCTGAGGCTTTTTTTAAGACTTGTTTTCTTGTTTTGGTTTTATTTTTAAAATAATTTGCTATTAAAGAGAACTATCACACAGCTATTCCTGTGTTTTCTCTTGTATCAAGGCCTATTTGATGTTAAATTTGTCTTTGGGTGACTGACTTTAACCTAGTGATTTTTCAGCTGGTAGCATTCTCCAATAACTAAAACTTAAGAAAACGCCAAACAGATTTGGTAGCTTTCATATTACATATGACTGTAAAAGAAAATACGCTGACTATTTAGCTGTCACATAGTTATAAATCTAAGACTTAACAGCACAGTTAAACTTGCCATGGGTTTTTATGTCATCATTCAGGTTAGGACTGTATTATTGGTATGTATGTACTGTTCAGGTGTTACTCAGCAAATAACAGGAGTTTCATCTGTTCAGTGGCAATTCTTGAGAAAACTACCAAACTTCTACGTCTCACCGCTGAAATTTCTAATTTCAGCAAAGCATTAAAGCATATGCTTAAATCCCACAGGACTGCAATTGTCATAACATTTTATCTAATGTTTTGGTGCCTTGACATATGAGAGCCAAAATAAGTTCATGGAAACAAAAGGGTGAAAATAAGGTAAATATAATCCCCACTCAGTCTGATCTAAAGTAAAGCAAAATAAACCTTCATGCAGAAGAAGAGTTAGTGTGAGTATTCTGATTACTTGGAAATATAGGGAAAGTATCGTTGCCTCGGTATTTTGACTGATTACACCAAATGTACGTTTAAACAACCATAAGATAATGAATGTAAGTACGATATGAAGTATCTCAAGGAAGGGTGTATTTATTGAGTAGTTGCAATCAGAACGATTGAATGAGATGCATGCAAGGATGTTTTCTTTTGGGTGGCTTCAATCTAAGTTTTAATGAAAAGAAGTGTTGTGGACATGGCAATAGGCGTTGAAGCTGTCTGCTATCTATAGATTATTGTGCCTGTGCATATTTATATGCATAAACTTACAGACATGTGTGAATGCTGTAATTGAAGGCTTTTGCTGTGTGCTCACACATACTGCACACATAAATCATGTACATATTAATAATTTAATCTTCTTGTATAGTTAGTGATGGGAAAAAACATTATTGGTTGTAGCTGAAATTTGCTATAATTATAGAAGGAAATATATCTAAATCTAGTAATAACCTTATAAAAAGGGTGACATATCTTCTTACACTGTGTACACTTTGGTACTTCACTGAACTAAGCTCAGAATTCTTGAAGCCCTCAAATAAAATGGAAATAGTGACTTAAAAGTGACTAGGAGATACATGGGCCGTCAGTGGAGAAGATTTGGAAAATTTGAGAAAGTACAAGTCTTTACTACAACATGTGATACCAAAACATTTAAAGGTCTTTAGTGCTAACTACAGTGCGGGGAACATCTGATCTAAACAACGGGGTATTTTGAAACATTAGGCAGACTTCAAACGACCTCTGTGGTTACCAGGAATGCCCTTTAATGTTCGTATTTTTCTTGCAGTCACCTACACCTGTGATGATACTTAGCTCTAGTGAATTCCCCATTCAATTCTACTTGAGTAGAGTGCGGACCCATCTGCCCGGCTCTAGAGACAGAGCCGAGGCCGGCAGCACCTGGAGCACTCAGCAGCTCTATTCTGCAGCACGATGGGCACCGACTTCCTTCAGGCGAAGGTTGGCAGCAGCAGCAGAATCCTCAGTTGTGCAGATGTGCTGGCTCAGGAGAACAAAATGCTCTCCCTGCCTTTCTTTCCAAAACTCACCTGGTGCATAGCAAAGTCCCCCACCATTGGCAGATGTGGCTGTCGGAGGCCCTTGCTTGGGCCCGTCCTGCAAGAACCAGGCTGTGCTGAGAGAGCAGTGCCACAGTAGAGAGGCACTGACGAGACTCCAACCAGCACCAGCAGCCTGAGCATGGCACAGTTGGGACCCTCTGCCCTCCCAGGCTCTCTGGCCCACAAGGCAGGTTTCCTCCCAGCACTGCGAACATGGACGTGCTGGTGTTCCTGGTGGCTCCTAACCTTTTCTGCTCCCCTAGTGGCACTGTGGGATCCTTCCTCCCTCCCTCACCCCCTCCTACACAGGCTCACCCCAGTGGACAAACATCCTGGGGGCACAGCCAGAGGCAGGTGAAAGGCAATGATTTTCATCTCTGCCAGGCCCTCCACCAGCCTCTGCAGGCTCCTGGTGCTGAATGTTCTCCACTGGCAAGAGAGGAGTGGGAGAAGATGAGCAGCAATGCCTCTTCTGCTTGGCTGGAGGAGCAGTGCTCGGGGGCAGAGCCCAGACCACAGAGACACTCACAGAATAGCGGCAGCTCAGCTCCTTCTCCACGAGTTTGGTGAAGAGGGGGCGGGTCACCTGGGCTTTCTAAGATCCTTCTAGTGTCCCATGCAGCAGAAAGGGACAGGGACAGAGCTGGCTGAGCCCTAAGCCGCCTCTTCCTTCCGGTCAGGTGGCTCTGCCTGAGAGCTGTCCATAGTCCTTGGAGCACCTCTTTCTCACGCGTGGAGGAGCAGAGAGAGCTGTGCCTGGAGCATCCCCCCAGATGGCTTTCCCCAGCAGAGTTCCTACCCATAGTTCCTTCAGAGGCCGAGAGCTGCAGAAAGCAAGGAGAATCAGCACCAGGCCTCACTGCCCCCTCAGCCCGTGGGCAGACATGAGCACCTGCATAGCCCTGCCCCATGGGGAAGGACACTGGTAGAATGAAGCCCTGGGGGTGCAGGGATCAGGACAGAGGTGCTGCTTCACAGCTGGCTGTGCCCCAGAATCTACTAGTTGAACTGCAGGAGGTTCCTGCCAGTCTCTTTCTCTTGGCAGCAAAGAGTACTTTGTACTCATTATTTGGAATAATGTGACATTTTCCCT